AAGCATTCGATTGTTCAATGCGGTATCAGAGTTTTTTGTTCAATTTACGGTTGTCGCGTTTTTCGAAGGCAGTATCATCTACATTGTAAGTTTGAGAGAAAACAATTTTTTCGAAGATATCATGGAAGCGAATATCATTGAAAGTTAGATAATGGCTGAGGAGACCAGTGATAGGTTGAAAGAAAGGAATGAACGAAAGCAAATAACGACGATGATCATTTTCAGAATGGATTAGTTGTGAGTGAATCCAGGGGTGGCGGAGAAATTGGAAGCTTGATGAACCTCTCATATCCGATCACTCGTTTCATCGGTCGAGATCTGGATTTGACTCCGAATTTCTTCGGTGTTACCACGTATGATTCGGATGAGATGAAGAACGGCTCATATGCGTCAAATATCAAAGACCTCAAAGTTGTCGTGCTGCATTTCCGTGCTCATAAGCCTGCGGATTGGTCCGAAGACGACATCTATGCATGGGAGCGTGGTGTTGGTAAATACTTCAGAGAGTAAGTAGTTCGCAAATATTGATAGTCTTGTTGAACACAATGTTGAAGTGATGATTATACATTTTATGAATCGAGGCTTGCATTTGAGGCTTTTTAGGCTTCTAGTATGCGAGATGTACTTCTCATTGCGATTTCACCAATGTTTTTGTCTGTAATTCAGTTTATATGGTGCAATGAAATCCTTGAATTTCAGAACTGATGAACTACCACTGATCAAAACGTATATAGTTTCGTTGGCATACACTCAAGATGAAGTTGTACGAACTGGCTTGACCATATTTCCATATATATTCGTTGGATTTGCCATTATGTGTGTTTTTTCGATTCTGACCGTTTTCATTGGATCGAAATATCAACACCAGGTTTATTTTCGTTCGTTCAAATAGTGTATCGCTCAGCATCATGAGAGCCGAGTACTATTTCATCAAACGTCTTTGAATTCACGTCGAGTTAAATTCACGACTCTATCCAATCTTCTCACATTAAAGCTCCAGTGATGATGAGTTCATCGTCACTGATGAATACTACGTGATTGCGCTGCATATTGCAATCGTTCATTTTCAGTGGTCTATTCACAAAATTACTTATGCCGTAACCGCATGCACGACACCACTGCTGGCCACAACGACCGCATTCGGGATAGCGATCAGCCTTGGATTCCGGTTTGGCACTGTACTTTGCGTTACACCGTTTCTTGTTTTAGCTATCGGTTAGTTGATCATACTTGTATCCGTTTCTGATCACTCAAAATCGTGATTCGAGAATTACTGATTGCGAAAATTTTGAGAATTTTCCATTGCCGAACGTTCAAATCAGACGTAAAAGAGAAATTTCTGAAAATCTCGAAATTAGTCCTGCATTGTTGCATTAATACGTGTTGACAGTGAGCACATCAAATGCAATATGTTCGTTCGTGATAATTTAGAAATTCGGCACTATTCGGTCAAGAATCACTTCGGATTGTTGTTGATTGCAGGTGTTGATGATGCATTTTTGATGATAAATGCTTGGAACCGCGTCTGCGGAAAGCGAATTCGGAGTGGAATAAAAGACGATCTGAGAGAGCGAATGGCTGAGGTGAATAATTTCCTTCCGAGTTTATGACGTACTCAGTGGATCACTCATGTTGTTTTTCCAGTCACCTCAAATAACTGTGTTGCTCACGGGTTTCTGTAACGACGGTAGTAACAATCATCCAAAAACCGTTATGTCTTTTACCATCGCTTTGCTATTTGAAAATGAAATTCGTCCATTTTATGCGTCAACCATTTATAAAAGAAATTGCGAGAGTACTGAGTTATTCTGATCGTTCACTACCAGAAAACGCACCCGAACGACTGGGATTTCGGCCTCATCGATTCCTTCATAAACAATCAGTAAGCAAAAATGCAAAACTGTATATTTTCAGGTTCTGGTCGATGTTGGACCATCGATTACAATCACATCATTTACGAATGCTGTAGCGTTCGGCATGGGAACATTCATGCCAACACCAGAAATTCGCCTGCTCTGCATTTACACTGCAATCGCATTGTTCTTGGACTACATCTACACAATCACTATCTATGCGGCCATTATGAGCATTGGGGGTCGTTTTGAGATGCGAGCTGAGAAAACCGTGCCGAAATCTTGTGATGGAAAAGATAAACGCAAAATGAGAACGGTTTCTAATCGCATCAATTCATTCATCTCTTGAACGCAAATCACCCGAATGAATCCTTTAACAGCTGCAAAATATTATTCATGAATCGTAACACAATCAAAGTCAAACAAGGAAATTAGCGTTTCGGTTTTGTTATTAGGTGTATTTTGTGACAGTTTTTTGGACAATATCAAGCTGATGAATCTGTGCAGACGAGTTGAATAATTCTGCGTTGAAATAGTGCTGTAATGCAGAATATAATGGTGATATCATCAGTCTTGCTGTGAAGTTTGTTTTCAGAATGATGAAATTGAATCCATCAAATAATGCCTTTCAGTTGGCCGTGTTTTTGGATAACTACTGCAATTGGCTATCGAGTGGATTCACATCGATTATAATGCTGATTTTATTATCGTTGTACTGGTGGGCAAGTATAAAAGGAGCAATGAATACACGATCGAGTTTGACACCTGAAAAATTGTTCCTTGCAGATTCGCCGATGATTGAGGTTCGTTGAAATGTGATACTTCGAACAGATCTCGTTCCATTAAAAATCACATTCAATGTATTGGCATTATTCAGTCTATTAATTTTCACGAAACCGTCATTCTTGTGGCTGCTTAAACGACCTCAAAGAACAAATAATTCATTTGAGAAAAACAAAAGATTCAAAATGAGCACATGAAAATGATCAAACACAAAGCAGTGCGCTCAGTATGAAAAGGACGTTTTACAATTACTGTAGCTTTTGTATACTTGAGAATATTCGTCCATAGATTCCATTTGGGAATGGATGCACGAGTTCTTAGCAAACGATGCACTCTGAATGATACAGTCACATTTTCCGAACGTTAACATGTAAGCGATGAACGACTGTGAGCGCAACACTATCATGTCTGAAATCGTTTATCATAAATTCAATCTGATTTAGATGAGCGCCATACGAAACAAATACATTCTACCGGTATATTCATTTGTCACCGTGTTCGTACGTAATCCCGGTGACCTACAAAATGCGTCACGATTGGAACGAGTCGAAAGTATGGTTGAGGAATTCGAATCGATTCCGTCGTGTACTGGATCAGAATTCACGAAATTCTGGATTCGTGACTACAAAGCGTATTTGAAATTGATTTCTGAAGAATTTGCCGAGGACACAACCCAAGATCCGGCACCATTCTCATCAGCTGATCTTAAAACATTCATTGAATGGCCTGAATACCGTCATTGGGGTGCATTCATGAAGTTCGACAATGAAACCAATCAGTAAGCTTTATGCGATTAATCGATAAGCCAGAACCGAGTGTTAGAACAGTACACTTTCATGTCTTACAATTATTTTGAGCTCCCAATTTTTCGAGTTATTGTGCCCACGGAGCTGACTTGTTTAGTGAGCAATCCACGTTGGTACACTTTCGTTGATTTCAGGTTCACTTCCTTCTTTCTCACTATTCCCTATCGTGGCAGTAACCAGTCCGATTGGAGTATGCGATTAAAGTTGCTGAAAGAATGGCGAGCAGTTGCAGACAACTATGCGGTAATCAATTTTTGAATTGTTGTTCTAAACACTAACTGATATTTGTGGACTTGAGGACCTGATTGCATTGCAATGAAAATGGCAAAAACTTCAGGATATCGGAGCGATAATTTATGAAGATGAAGCGCTGTTTATGGATCAAATTGAGAGTATGCTACCGATCACATTGCAAACATCGATTGCTACATTGGCATGCATGACTATCGTTTGCTTCATTTTCATGTCAAATATTTTCACTGTTCTCATCGCAGTCTCATCAATCACTTCAATTTGTCTCGGTATGTTGACCCCTGCACTTGATAACAATTAATCAGACTGCGCCGTGAGATTTGATACGCAATGTACCGTTGAAATACAATTCATGCAAAAATATACTACTTAAGAGTAAAGGAAAGCAGGAAAATAAGTCACATAAAATTACGTTCAAATACCTATAAGCCATTGCATTTTTCAAACATGTTTTTANGTTAAGCTGTCTTCAGGTGTGTTTGGATTCATGACATTATGGAACATTGATTTGGATCCAATTTCGATGTCAACACTGATAATGTCAATCGGTTTATCGGTTGATTTCCCGGCTCATATCACGTTTCACTATTATCGCACCGGACTAAATCCTTCATTCACATCAATCAAAGAGCGAATGGCACACTCTTTGAAAGCCATCGGTTTTCCACTGCTACAGTGCAGTGCATCCACAGTACTCTTCGTACTCAGTCTTCTTTTTGTCTCGTGTTACATGAGTGAGGTAATACCATTCGTTTCCCTCATATACATATCCTCTGAATGAATCAATTCATTTGCACTTCTATTCATCCATCTTTCCAGTGCTCACTTTTAACGTATATGTATCACTTCTATGAAACCCGGAGCGATTTCATTTCCGTATTTACAGTCTCTCAATCGACGCGAAACCCTCATTTATCAATCAGAGTCATCTGTTTACTTGCCTATTATGAGCTAATTCAATCCTACAAATGTTCACGTATTTGGCGAAGTCAAAAATTTAGGCAAATCAAAAATTTCTCCAATCAATTAAACGTTCCTTATAATTTGCGTCAATTTTTGCAGGTATTCGTGAAAGCAATTGTATTAGTGATTGGGCTGGGAATCACACATGCACTCGTTGTCGTTCCAGCCATATTGTGTGCATTATCAAATATTTATCAATATCTTGTTGATTACAAAGACAGTCAGGTAGCAACTTCGCTTCTGGTTCACCTTCTGATAGTATTCCAACGAATCATCCATTGCACTTGATCGCTAACATGCTGCGATTCTTAATCATTTAATTTTCGTCAAATCTTCATTTATAACCATCGAAGGTGTCTTCGCCCCACAATCTTTCATGGCGTTTGCTGGCGAACAGCAATTAAACGAAGTGAACAACGAAGTTTTCGGTCCATTACGACTGATAGGTAGTCAACGATAATATTCCAGTGCGATTAATGATTTTCAGTCAACTTCCTCGCAAGCAACTCGAATCACAAAAATAAGCCAAAGCCCGATGATGCGGAGGTTTCGTTCACCGGTGGGCAATAAAGTTCTACCAGTGGTGAATGATGATGCATCTCGGTGATCAAACGGAAATAACGGTGATTTTGGTGCGAAGAAGGTATTGCTGAAGCAAACAATTTCTGAAATATTGATGCGATATTTCCGAAATATTGAATTCATTTATGTATCAATTGTCACCATGTTTGTCAGCTTAATATACATATGGAATTCATTCAAGTAGGTGAGAAGCGCTATTCACATTTTCTTCTTGGTGAATCAATGCGACCCGATGAACGTTTCAAACTGTAGTTCCCCACGGGAACGCTTCAAGCTGTAGTTCCCCACGGGAACGCTTCAAGCTGTAGTTCCCCGCGGGAACGCAATAAGCTGTAGTTCCCCACGGGAACGCTTCAACCTGTAGTTGCCCACGAATGACTCGAATTGTTTCAACTTTACTGACAGTTGATTGAACCTGACTCAAAACCGATATGAACATTTAATCTCACATCAGCACTTTTCAAATACATGGCTCTTTGACTCTGCACATGATCGACTCTTTGTGATCAACATTCTTCCATGACACTGCCTGCGTCTTACGTCCACACAGACAGCATTCTCAGTCANCAACATTGCTTGACAAAGCTGTGTTATAAATTAACGGGTTTATAAACACCTTTCTCCATTTCATTACAAACAACTTTATCTGATATTCAACGCATTCAGCTAATGCGATGTCGTTTATCCATTTGTACAACGATTGCCCAATTGCGTTCATTGTGCTGTTTCTTTTTCTCCTTCTTAAGTATGTTCACTTCCTTTCATTTCGTCTAATTTGTCTACATTTTGTCTAATTTTGTCTACATTTCAGCTTTATTCACCGTTATATTTAGTTATTGTTATCACTTATGATTGTTTCATTTCCATTGTACAACAGAATATTCTGTTCGTTTATTACATCAGTTTCACATTTTGTATTATACATTGTTTGATGTATGTTTCGCTGCATTCATTTAATACATAAAACAATCCACTCATTTGCATTCTCACTTCGAAATCGTCTGTTATCGACAGTGGTCGATAGTATTTATGAATAACTATCAAACGTTTCAACGAATCTTTTTTCGGACTTACTAAAATTTCAACTGTTAGTAAATCAAAAGTTTCAAGTATCAAATCATAAATTAAAATTTCAACTGCCAAATCATCTACTTGTCCAGCAAAAATTCGGTTTTTGCACTGAGGTGGACGAAGTGATTCAGTTACCACTTTTCTCAAGGATATGAACAAATTTCTATCATATGATAAGCAGTCATTTTATATTTTATCGTTAGATAATTTGCGAGCTTCAGTCAGCAATTTTGTGTTACGCCACTAGAGTATGCAAAACGAACCTGAAACTCAAAAATTCCAACAATAAAATGAATCCATGATATCGCTCAGTTCCAGCATTCTTCAACAATGCACACATGAAATGTTTATCACAGCAAACAGGGTTATGGTAGGAGTTCATGAGTGAAACACTAATGTTCTCTTAAATTTAATGAAGAAATAACAAAGTTCCAATGAGAAACAAACATAAGTTACTATCACAGATTCTTTTTGCAAACTTTCAACAAACAAAAAAATAAAAGGTAACAAGACTATTGCACAACCACATTCAACGATATTCAAAAAAGTTGCAAGCATCGTCAGACATTTTAAAGCTTTCCGCTTAAAAGACTATGTTCGAA